TGATCACTACTCCGGAATAGGCACAGATAGGACATAGCTGAGCGATTGGCAGAATGATGAGTTAAACACACTCGAGACACTTTCTTTAACCGAGCACCATTTGAAGTGTCAACTGATCATTGCAACTCCATGCTCAAGAAGAAACCCTTGACCAAGGAGTTGGGGGACTTGTTAATGTTAGGTACTTTTAGGTCCAAATAATGATGCATGACAAGAAATAAGCCATGAAAAGCCCAAGGAAAAGTTGAAGCCCAAGGGGAATCAAGAACCCCAAGGTCTAAAGGGCTTAAAAAAAAATACTCATGTGTGTTAAAGCCGACCATTTATGAGTTGAGGCCAACCAGGGTATGTGAAAACATTTCCAACTGCCAAGGACACGTGGGTAGGTTGACAATTTTATGACACAAGTCTCCAAGGATATGTTTACCTAGACATCAATCATACCATGTGGCAACACACAGTCAGTAGCAAAGACCTAGGATGGGACGTAAAGGTGGTCAGAACGGCACTCGAATATATGGGTTTGCATAACCAAGGCCAATTGAGACACCCAACCCACATCACTTTAAGCGTGCAATATCGACTGGATATATGTCACTTCACCCAGCCGAATGTCTAGCTGATAGGTAAATATAAGTCAGCAACCTAATCTACGTAGGTGGCGTATTAAATGCCAGGGAAGTGAAAAAAGGTGAACCTAAGGGTTATGAGTTCATTGAGGGCCTATATAAAAGGGTGAGAACCTCATATATTAAGGTTAAACGACTGAAATGAGATAGTTCATGTATTAGCCGAGCGTTATTTTTAGCCTTGAAATCAATATAATATGAGCAACACAATGGATATAACCCAATTTTGAAGGGGAGGGACCACTTAAATCTTTAAGTCCATTTCATTTTAGTCCATATCCCAAGCCCACCAAGGGTTTAATATTTTAATTTGTTAACCTACAAATTTTGAGCTTTAACACATGACATATTCCTATCTCAAAGGAAATATGTTATGGACTTGTTAGTAGAAACAGGGATGCTTGGTTGCACCTGTGGATACCCCCATCATCCAAAATCACCATATGCCTGTGTATTTTGATCAGGTTTTAACCAACAAAGATCATCACCAGAGGTTGTTTGGACAACTAATCTACTTATCTCATAACAAACTAGACATCACATATGCGGTGAGTTGTCTACCAATTTATGCACTCTCCGAGTGAGCTCACATGGTGGGGCTAATTGGATACTTCACTACTTGAAATTGGCACCAGGTAGAGGTATCATGTTTTCGAAGAATGTACACTTGAAGGTAGATGGTTATACTAATACGGATTGGGTAAAAAATATTACTGATAGACGATGTACTTCTAGATACTTTATGTTTGTGGGAGGCAACTTAATAACTTGGTAGAGTAAGAAATTGAAAGTGGTGGCTTTGTCAAGTGCAGAAGCAAAGTACAAAGGTATGACGAATGATTTGTGTGAGTTACTGTGGCTTCACAGGTTACTCATGAAACTTGGGTATTGACGAACGTCTGCAACAAACTTGTTTGTGAAACAAGGCTGCCATTCATATTTCTCATAATTTGTTCCAACATGATCGAATCAAACATGTTGAAGTGGATAGGCATTCATTAAGGAAAATTTAGACGCAAATATCATTCTCCATTTGTGGAATCAATAGATTAGTTGAATTTTAACGAAGGTAGTTTATAGTCAAGCATTCTACAACTCACTCGACTAGTGGGGCGCTAGCGACATCTATACACCAACTTGGAGATGAGTGTTGGAGTAAGTTGGCATTCTCGGTGTAATTAGTGGGATTTGTTTCCTAATTATTTCCTTGTAATTAGGATAGACTTTATTTTTATTCTTACCTTGTGGGTTAAAGTTGTATTATGGGTTAATTACACTAACACATCCTGAGGTTTTTTAGGTTTTCACAAAACCCCTTTAGGTTTGAAATATTACACAAACACTCCTTAAGGTTTTAATTTACTTTCACAAATATCCCATTGGTCTAAAATCTGTCTATAATTTACCCATATAATTAATTACTTAAAAAAATTAAAACATCTTATAAATAAATAAGAAAAATAAAATAAATTACCCATTAAGAATAAAATGAAAAAAATTGATAGAATCCTATGGGTTAATTACACTAACACCTCCTGAGGTTTTTTAGGTTTTCACAAAACCCCTTCAGTTTTGAAATATTACACAAAAACTCCTTAAGGTTTTAATTTACTTTCACAAATATCCCATTGGTCTAAAATCTGTCTATAAAAAGACAAATTTACCCATATAATTAATTACTTAACAAAATTAAAACATCTCATAAATAAATAAGAAAAGTAAAATAAATTACCCATTAAGAAAAAAATGAAAAAATTTGATAGAATCCCTCCATTATTTCTGAATGCGTTTTCTTGACTTCAAGTGGACAAACAAATTGTTCAATCTGTTTTCAATTATAAGAATTCTTATATGAGAATAAATAAGATATTGTTTAATAGCTTTAAGTTGTATCGAGAGATTAAACGGAGTAGAAGATGAAAAAAAAACCGATTTTCTTCACGAAAATGGAAGACATGACTGTTTAAATTCTCCCTACCACCTCCATGCATATTTTGCAACGCCATTAACGACATCGTCATGTCTTTCATTTCGAAATTTGCTCATCATCATCACCATCTCTTTCGCTCTATTTATCTTAATTTCATACTTACCAGGAAATATTCTTGTCGACATCGTCATCTCTTCTTTCCAAAGCTTTGGGATTTTTCACCCAAGATGAAGATCGAGAGGGGTAATAAGAAGCAAAGGGAAGCGTTCGCGTTGTAAACATCCATCCACGGTTACCCCTCCAATCGAGCTTCATCTTCCATGGTGGATTTCAAGTAATTTTGGATCATTTTGATTTCTCTTTCAAACTTTCCGACGGTAGTCCCCTTGTGGATTTGTTGATTCTAGGGTTTTGGTATCCAATCCAAATCCAAAAAATAAAAAAGAAAAGTGTTGGAGAGGAAGGTATGCGGGCGTAGAAGACGACTTTAATTTCGTTTCCTGTTCATTGTTTTTTTTTTTTGGAACTTTTAAAAGTTTTTGGTACTGTTCATTTTAACGAAAAATCACATTTTTATATTAAAAAGTCAATCCTAGTATAATTTATTTTACTCTTTATTTTTTCCTTACCGTTAAAACTTAAAGTTTTCAAATCCTATTCATTAGTTTTTTTTTTTTAATGTTTTGTGTACTTTTTTATTTGATTTGTTATAAATAGATAAAAGTTAGTGAGATAACCTTTACCAAGAACAAGAGAGAAGCGGGTGCAAGATATTACACTATTTAGTTTCGTAACTATAACACAAAAAGATTGCAAGAAAAAGAGGAAGGGAGGGATGGTGATATTATTGCTTTCACTTTTTTTCTTTGTTGTGTATTGTAATCACATGCGGAATTAGGGGTGGATTTTTTTGCCAAATTGTCATACCAACCGAATTGCCAACCGTGCCATACCGATTTTGTGCCAAATTTTTTGTGCCAACGGTAATGGTACGGTATTGTACCGTACCGAAAGTTCGTGGTACGGTATTGGTAATGGATACCATTACCACGGTATTACCATACCGTACCAAAAATGTAATATAATATATAATTTATATAAACTATATAATATATAATTATAATATAACACATTTATAAATTATAATATATTTTCTTTGTTTGTTAAATGGTTTTCAACTTTAATTCTTTTTGCTACTAATATGTTTTCTTCGTTTGTAATATAGGCTTGACACAAACTCAATCTTCTACAAGTTCAATGTCTCCTCCAAAAGCTTCGACATCTTAAACTTGAAGAATTGATCAATGAATTTTACCTTTTGAAGTTTAGTTTCAATTTTCCTTTGGTTTGAAACTTTAACTTCTATTTGGATTGTAAGCTTAATTTTCATTTTGATGCATAATTTGAATTATGTTTCCATTCTTTGTTTTAGGCTTATAATTTTCAAGTAATTCATCAATATTTCATGCCGCTGTAAATCCATTTGAAGGTGGAAATCCAAAATCCATTTGGGCACTTGTTATGAGAATTTTTTTCCGTCTATGCATTTGGTTTATATATCTTTGTCTTATTACAGAGGCACAAAATATGAAATGTTGAACAAAGCAAAAAAAGATTTTGTCTCAAAATAAAGTGGCAATTACCATTGCCATACCATGCCAACCGAACATTTGGCAATACCGAACTTCGGTATACCGAAAGTTTGGTATGGTAATGGTAATAGATTTTACCAAACCGAAAATTTGGTACGGTAATTGGTACGAGGGTTTTGGTACGGTAACCGTACCGAACCCACCCCTATGCGGAATGCTCTTTATATAAAGTCACATCCGTGAAAAAACAAAAAGTGAAGTGATTGCTCTTTTTTAAAACTTCACATAATAACAAACTACTGTGACCTTTTTTAAAGCTTCACATAATAACAAATACACTATTGTGTGCATTCATTCTCACAATTTTACAACATGATTTCCTTTTTAGTTAGATATAAAAGTTTTCTATTTTGTTAAGTAATTCATTATAAGGATACATTTGTCCTTTTATAGACATTTTTTGGCTAAAGAGGTATATGTGAAAGTGAATTAAAACCTAAAAGGGTGTAAGTGTAATGTTACAAATCTGAAAGGATTTTGTGAAAACAAAAAAAAAAAAAAAAAAAAAAACCTAAGGGGAATGTTAGTGTAATCAACCCGTTGAATTGATATATCTTGCCTCCTAACTGAGAAGAACACATTGAAGACTTGTACAACCCAAATTTAGCATGAAGGTGCAATCACATCTTGCACAATGCCAAGCTAAGAACAGGTCGGGAAAGGGGATTGGACGTTTCGAACCACCCTGCAATCGAAAGCTGCGATACCATGTTAAACAACCATTGGACTCGAAAAAATTTCGCTCTTACGAAAGGGAACCAAAATGTATACCAAAAAACATGTTTCAAATTGAGATGCAAAAACAAACGGCTCTCTGTTCTGTTTATTGATACGAAAACATTCCAAAATACAATTACAGACATGAATGTTCCACACGCTCAGCGCAAAGCTATTACACACTTGACCAGAGTTCCATGTTTTTTGGTAAATGAAAAGCTTAAGGAGCATCACTTATTTGAGAAAAAGCAAAGCTACAAGCTCCCATGGCGAAAAATACGGCGGTGCGATTTATTTATGTGGTGGACTGGATTCACTTTGCCAAATTAAGATGCAGTAAACTTCAAACAGCTCGCTCATCTTTGGCAGTTTTCTTACCACTGAATAACTTGGTCAGATTAGGCAGTACATGCTTTTTCTTCTGAATGGGGAAATTGTTCCGCGCTCCGGGAGAAGCAGATTTTCTATGCCTAACCCGCCTGTATGGAGTCTGGTATCCATTACTTCTGATAGACTTTCTAGGCATGGCTTGTTGCCGGCTTCCAGATACTACAATTCTCTCCCGTTTTTGTCCCCAATTCTGTACTTGTTGCTCTTCGTCCACTCTCATCTCATTGAGATCCCTCAGAGTTAAGTCTATCCTTATCAGTATTTCCTTCTCACTGGCCTTTAGTGCTTCAACCCATGCCTGAGCTGCTGCTACCTTCTTATCAGCAATTTCTTCAGCTGCGACCGCACGTCCAGTCAGGTACTCGTGTTCAAACTTGGATATGGTAATTGAAGAACTACTCTGTGACTCAAAAGCTCTAGCTCTTATGGTATTCTCGATGAGACTTTTGAGGTTTTCAAGCGCTACAGCTTCGGATGATTTGACTGTTTCGAGCTCTTGCATTGCAGCCTGTAGTTTTTCCTCAGTTGATTCTATCTCATATTCCATTTTCAGAATTTCGGACTTGATGCTTGCAGTCTCTTCGCAGACAAGCTCCTTTTCTTTCTTTGCAGCTTCTGCTTCGGTCTTGAGCTTGTCGAGAGTGAGAGAGAGATTGGACACAATTGATTTTGCTTTCTCTTCAGATGCAGAGACAGCTTCCAACTTGGCTTTTGCTCTGAGAAGCTTTGAGTTGAGATTTTGAATGCTTAAATCCGATTTCTCTTCTGTCTTCCTTAACCGAGCTGTCTTGTCTGTTAAATGCTTGAGCTCATTTCTTATAACATCCATGGAGGCCATGTACTGAAAACCTTCTTCTTTTACTGCAGCCAATTCTGTCTTTGCCGCCTCTAGTTCTTCGGTAACTGACTGTAACAGCGCCGAGCCTTCCAAGTCCTTCTCTTTCCGAAAACTAGGTTCTGAACGAGTTAAGCTGTCAATCCTTTGAATCCTTTTGTCCGTTTCTTTAACTAGCTTTAGTTCATTCTGTAACACATCCACATCAGAGATTGTAACAGCTAATTTGGTTTCGAGCTCTTTCGAGTAATCAGCCTCTTCAACAATATCTTTCATTTTCTTCCTGGTCTCGTCTACTGCAAACGAGAATTCAATGGCTTCCTTTTCTCTCTCAGCTTCTATATCTCCAAATTCTCTTGCAGCTTCAATCCGGGCCAACTCAGCTAGCACTTGCTCTTCATTTGCTTCCTCAATCTCGTTCCTGATTGCTTCCACTGAGCTTGTATAAAACAACATATTTGCATTTGCAGCCTCTGTCTGCTTCTCTGCCCGCGATTTCTCTTCTAAAACCGATGCCATATCAAGCTTGAGCATGCTTAGCTCCTGTCTCACAAGTTCCAATTCTCTCATCACTTCTGTATATTTTTTATTGTCCACGTCCCCAATAGCCAATACCTGATCTTCACGCCTGCCCACAGGCCTTCGCGGTTTCTTTAGCACTTCAATCTCTCGTGTATGTAATTTTGCCTTGGAGTTTGTTTCCTCAATTACAGAAGAGAGATCTTTAGCTCTCTTCATGGCATCAAGCATCTCAGATTGCGCTTGTGCTCTTAAGGCATCTGCATCCACTCTGTTTTCTTTGAACCGACCTATTTCCCTGCGTGCCATATGGAGTTCTCTCGCTATTGCAGAAGACTTCACATGAAATTTGTAGACAGAGAGAGAGAGAGAGAGAGATCAGAAGCAATGCAGATGGTTTTTTGCTACGTAGTGAATAAAACTAAAATTATGAACTGGGATTTTCCATAGTTCCAAGAGTTGGTTGAAAACCTTCAACTCTTGCACTTGAGGTCCTGAGCTCGATTCTCTCTCTTCCCAACATCGCTTGTATAAAAATTAAAAAAATTCGGGGTTATATATACCTCGGAGATATCTATCTGGGGTTTGGTGAGTGAAGGACCAGGAGGAGTGGCTTCAAGAATCCTATCTTCTCCATATGGACTGTTGGCTTTTCTAAATCTTCTTCTGTTTTCAGACTCTCCTCTACTCATATTAACCTGTTTACCACTCAAATCATCAAGCACCACAAATTCTGTAAATTTCTTCAAAAATCCAAACAACTTTATTCTTCAATTTTGAATAAAAATTCTAAGAAAAAACTGGAATATAATTAAACCAGCTTCATCAAATGCAAGAATTTCAACTGAAACAAATGCAAGAAATTCTACAACTACTTATAAATACATGCAAGGTCCGTTCTTTTCCCGACGTGAGATTCTGACCCTCAACAAAATGCAAGCAATTTCAGCAACTTAACAATCTTCATAACATATATCTATATGTAGATATCTCTTCAATTCTTAGACACAGAAAGCTATGAGATTGAAAATTAAAAAACTTACAAATAATTGAGGTGGAGTTGGAAGGCAGAGAGAGAGAGAGAAAAAACTTTGTTTTTGTCAGACAGTTTTAATTTATTCATTCCAATTTAAAGAGGGAAGAAATATAAAAGAGGAAGGAGTGGCTTCGGTTCTGTCCTTAATTCTACTCCTCATGCTTAAGCTGATATTGGAACTACCGCCATCTGCCAGCCATCTCTTTATTCTTTTCTTCCCGCATTTTAAATGTCCTTTTCAAATATTGTTCTAATTAAAACTGAAATAAGACTATAAAATATGTTTACGTCGGATTTTAAAATTATACATATTATATGAAACTTTGGAAAAAATTAATAACAAACCAGATGTAAGATTGACTATTTTTTTTTCCTTTAGAAATGATATTGAGAGGCAGGAATCGAAATTAGGATCTCGAGTGCATACATGAAGGCTCTAAACCAACTGAATTACAAGTTTCTTTGAGTGTTAAATGTAAAATTCTAAAATGGTTAGTTCAATTAAACAAAACTTTTAGTGTTTTTGTGAGGAGAAATTGCACAAGCAATTCGTTATTTCAAGCGTCTGGAAAGCTTGAATGGTATATTATTAAAGAATGAAACTTTTGAGCTAATTAGAGTTCAATTTAAACCTTTTACTTACAAGTAAAAAAATAACCGTAGTGCTAAGTGGCTAAATAGCTTGAAATTTCAATACGCCTCTAAGAATAGTAATTCCAACAGAAAGCACTTCTGGGAAAAAAAAATGATTTCTATAGAAGCATTCATGTTATTTCAAATGATAAGAAAATTAGGGACAAAGGTCCCTTAGGCTTTTCCAAGTCGTACCATTTATTTTGGAGAAAATTAATTCTTCTTCTTGCCCGAATACATTATATACTCACAGATTTTCTTAGTTGGACCAGACTTGAACCACTCATTCGGATAATAATAACAAAAATCCGACCAACTGTAAATAAACAATTTGGTCATATGCTTCTTGAAAGTTTATTTATTTGTTTTTGACAAGCGATAGGATAATCTACATTAAATTCACGAAAGAGTTTAAACTCAAAACTCAATAAGTTAAAAGAAAATGCCCTAATTACCAAAGCAGTCCACCACTGGTCTTCAAAGTTTATTCTTTTTGCATTGCAGGCATCTTTATTCTACAATTTGTCATGGACATATATATAAAATATACCTTACATGGATGAAGTAGAATTGAACTATATACGTGTTTGGTGCAGCGAACTTAACTACGAATGTGTCTATAGCTAATTTTTGGCTTTAAGACTCTGGTTCTAGAGCTTCGATTGATTCATTCGGCTCTGGTGCTTTCAAAGGTTCCCTTGATGCTTGTTTGGAAGAGCCTTTGGGATTCCTTTTATGTTTACATGTTTGAAAATGCTTTTGAAACAACTAAAAGTGCTTTTAGATTATTAAAAATCTTTTTTTAGTGGTTGGAGAGAAATTTATTTCTAGGTTAAAAAGCACTTGAAATGTAATACGAAATAAACACTTAGGTCCGTTTGGTGGGTTGGATGTGATTGGATTTTAGAAAAATGATTGAATTGCTAAGGGCATGTAAGACAAGACATGTAACTCATGCATAAAGATATGTTAGATAACCTACTCTATTGTGGATTCATAACTCATCATGTTTAATCCTGTCAATCTCACATTTTAATACAACAAACAAGGAACTTGACTCAAGTCCATTTTAATAGGTCACAACTTATCCCAACCTAACCACCAAACATGACCTTGAAGTATGCTTTCTTCAAATCCCTTATCAAGAAGTACTTGAATTTTCTTTTTAAAAAAAAATTGTTTTTGGGATAAGTGCTTTTAAAAAAAAAAGTATATTCAAACAGTAGCATTATTATTATTTTTCATTGAGATGAAGAATATATATTTGTGGTGGTATTATTGAGTTAATTCCGAATTAATGGAACATGGTTGAGAGGCTTGAGATATGGGGTTCAGTACAGTGTGTATTCAAAGGAAATGGGGTAAAAGATAGATATATACAAAGACAGTTGTGGCAGGAAGTGCACAATACGACAGATTTGTAAGTTTGGATCTACTGGACGTGTCTTAGAAATCGAAGGGGGTTAAGATTCCACGTCTTTGCATGCCAAACCATACGACCGCATCAACATTTTCTTAAGAGTTATCCATTATTTAATGGTATGCATGTTACAAACAAAAATACGAAGAAAGTTGAGTTTTTACCATATAATTAATTAGTAATATGAAGAGTAACTTAATTATTTACAAGTACATGTAAGGTCTCTCCTTTTATCAATGTGGTGGTAGTGGGTTAAAAAAATCGAAAACTAAAAACCACTGAATGTGAAAAACTGAACCGAATCTAGTTGGTTCGGTTTCAATTTTTAAGGTTCGAAAATCGAACCGAATTGAACATATATTAATTTTATTTATTTATATTGGGTATTTACTTTTTTAGCCCAATTTCCAACCAAATGTCTTGAAAGGCAAACTTCCCAGATGTTTTGAGCCCTCTCATTGTGAGCTCTTCTCATTTGCAAATCCACTTTGCCACTTCAGATCGATCGATTCATTTTCCTCCTCAGCTCATCGGAATCCATGGCGAAAGAAACAGCTTGCATCCTAGTTACAAGAGTCGTAGGTACTGTATCGAATCCATAATCTCACTGTTTCTTCGAAATTTTAACAAGTCCTAATCGATCTTGTAGATCTACGACATTGTTCTTGCTTGTTAATTTGTAAATTTCATATAATTGATGCAGCGTCATGGTGGGTAGGTAGCTTCCCAAGGAAAGAAGGCATGGTAAGGAAAGACATCATGACAAAGAACATTTCCATCCACAAGTCCCAAGCTTCTGCATTGGAAAATCAAGCAGCTCCTGACTGCAAGGTAAAAATAGGGGTGTGCTATCCACACATTCCATTTTACTTTTCATACACCCTTTGATAATTTCTGTCCGTTGATCTTTTTCAATTCATCCGATTCGATGGCCGAAAATTAAAAAGATGTGTAAGAAGTAAAAAATGATGTGTGAATATCACACCTCTAAAATAATTATTTGAATAGAACAAAAATTATTGGGTAGTTTTGTTTGGATTAATATTTAATGTTGGGTCTTGTGTTAGTAAGGCCCAAGGATGTTAAAGTAAAATGGAAGCTTGACCAAAACCCAGTCGAGAGGCTTGAAGCAAATTGATGACATTTCAACCAAGACATTAGACCCTGCAGTTTCTGACACGAAACGAAACGACACAAAAATAACAGATTTCGGGTCAACACGATAACTTATCGGATCATTATCGGGTGACCCGTTAATAACGAGTTCTTAACGGGTATACACGCGGATAACACGTAGGTAACCCGTTTCAACCTGTTAAGAAAAAATTTATTTTGATAATTTTAAAGTTTAATTACTAAACGTTTTATTATAAAATACAATAGTCATATTAATATATACAATATATTCTATATTAAATATATAGTTTGTATTATTATTCTATATAAGTTTAAAAAAAAAGTTTTAGTCACATTATTTATTTTTATCATGAGAGTTCCTTATTATCATTACTAGGATAAATTTTACTTAACATGTTGTTGTCCAAAATTAAAATAAACTAATATAGTATTTGTATAGGCAAGAACTAAGAAGACATACATATAAGTATAAAAAATGTGAAAGAATATATAAACACTCGTGATTCATCATTATTCCTCCACGAGTAGATAATGGCTACACTTACATTATCGTTTAGATTTTTAAAATCCTCCAAACCTTCATGAATAATGTTTTTTATTTGAAGGCAAAATTAATAATAATTATTGTAGAAGTGTAGAAAATGTAAAAAAAAAATATACAATCACTCATAGTGACAAACTTTACAACTTTCATGAAGGGGTCAGCTTTGAAATCCAACACTATAATTCATAAACCTTAAATTTATATTTAACCGTCGATTGCCATTTACGCTTTATTCTTTTTACTGAATTTCATTTTTAAAATTTTCTTTTTTGAAAACATAATCATTTGGCGGATGTAAGAAGATGAATGGTTCAGATATTTGATATCACGTTTCGATATTTATGATTAACTGAAATATGAGTCGATATCATATAGCTTGTAGAAACATTATAAACATCAAACAATATTTTCACTAACCGTAAAACTCTGAATATAATATCAAGGATCCAAATCGTTCATCTTCCTTCATCCTCTAATAGATCAACTTTTCAAAAAAGAGAATCTGAAAAAACAAAATTTGATGAGAACAATGAAGCGTAAATGTAAACAACAATTAACGGTTAAATTTTGATCTATGATTTATATGATTATAGTGGCAAATTTCGAAGTTAAGTTCTTCATGAAAGTTATAAAGTTTGTCATTACGAGCGTTTATATATTTTTCTATATTTTTTTACACTTTTACATTAATTAAAAATTATTAAAGACTTTAGGTAAGTGAAAATATACTTAAAAGAAAAATGCGTTTTTATATTTTGGATGTGACAATATGGTATGTATATACTTATTTAGTATTATGTTTTTCATTTGATTATTTATTGGTTTAAAATATATTTTCCTTAACGGGTAACGGGTCGGGTCATATTACCTGTTAATATTATCGGGTCGATTTCGGGTCGAGTCATTTTACCCGTTTATTTAATAGGTGTTACACGACACGACCCGTTAAGATATCAGGTATGACACGAAAATGACATGAACACGGAAAACACGACACGTATGCCATGTCTACAAGACATAGGCCATGTGCCTATGATTGAAGTGACAGGTGACAGAGACCAACTCACTATCAGCCAAACAGCATTTTCTAGTGGCATGACAAGTAAATAGATGATGACTCACTGCCTTCTGAGAGCCATTGGCCAAGAACAAAGCCAAGGTAGTCAGGCCAAATCGCCTATAAAAGGAGAAAGAGACACTAGAGACAAGGACACTTAAACAACCAATCAAAAGACACACTCAAACAGCCAATCAAAAGATATATATACTCTGCTCTCAAGCCAGTTCGTACCCAGAAAGCTGAAACTTGTCCAGATTCAATCAATTTAGCTATAGTTCTCCCAGAAAAGCCATCTTTTATCTAATGTAAAAGCTCTGCTACCTTCCCTTAGTGTTGTAATACCGATTCCTTCGTGTAAAACCTATTTACCTTCTATCTTTTTTAGCATACAACCTCTGTAAATACAAAGAAAAGTAGCTACAAGAAGTTCAACCTTACCCGACAAGGCTAAATCTTGCCCGAGTCTTTTTATTTTGTACTTTCATTTAGTATATATGTCGCTTAATGTACTTTCCATCATGTATTCAAGTCATCTTCAACTGCTTTTCACTCAAGAGTCTTATTCGTATTTGAGTCTGGTTAAGTTCATAAACCTGGTTTCATTAAAAAGCAAATTGTGATCGAGAAAGTGGTTAAAAGGGCCTTGAACTCCCTTCGTTTTAGACATACAAGATTATGAACCAAAGGTCCTTGTTTACAAGGCAAGAAAAAGAACTTAATGCAGACTTAACTCATTTGTGACAATCCCTTGATAATAAGAAGTTTAAGTAACTTGGGGCGCAAGTAATCAACTTAAACCACGCATATTCAACAATCTGTTATACTAAGATAACATTAGCACGCTCAGATCTTAGTTAGTTTTGATTACGAGCCTTAAGGCCTACACAAAAGGCCCTACAAGGGCACATTTCAAACTAATTACAAACTTAACTTGCAGCATACCCAAGTAACAAGAGCTTGCCCGACGACCAAACAACGTGCCACTTGCTTGGGGAGCTGTGCAAGGGAAATCTTGCCTGAACATAGTTTTGGCACACTTAGTGGGATCCCAATAATCTTGTATGCCAAGAAGAAGAAATGAGTGAACTTTCAGGTGGAAAACAGAGTATAGGCAACCCTTTTGTCCAACAAGATCAAACATGACAGATCAACCATAAGATTTCCCCTCCCTACAAGTTCCTACGATCCTAAACAGCCCAACATCTTCGGAGAAGTCTAGCGGGAAAGTTACTAATGAAGACTTACAAGCTACTATGGTACAAGTTTTGAGAAGTATAAAGAAGATCACTTTGGAAAGCAGAAGAGAAGTTAGCAGACTATGTTGCTTAACATGAACTCTACAGAGAAAGTTGGATTTGGAGTACTCCACACCAAGATATGGGTATGCCAGGAAGGTGATCAGGGAAGCAAGCCTAGAGAAATGACTAGTAATTCCTCTATTCCCCTTACTCGAGAAAAATAAGGATAAAAGGAAGAAGAATGAGGAAGTTGAGGCTAGTCAACCAAAGGAAGAAGAAATGCAGGAAACAAGTTTGCCCGACCTTTTGTTATTCCCACTAGATAGTAGGGGGCAGATCAGGCTAGAAGGAAGGAAGTTTGGAATGACTCAGCAAGTTGGCAAGTCCAGTGGAAAATGTGTACCCATAATTGCGTGCAAGCCTCCCCTATAGGCCACCACCTTTGGCTAACAAGGGAGATGAAGCTAAGTGGAGACAGCTAGAACCATAGAGGGAGGCTTTCTCAAGCAATGAGCGTAGCTCGAAGTGAGGACCTCTTTACACCATCCCCACACAACAATGCAGCTAACCAGTAACTCATAAATGAGCTAGCTGAACTAAAAATGATGGTGGTCCAGAATGCTCAATCCCAGGCTCACCCACTATTCAGAATAATATATCAGAAGCCTTACCCTGAGTATATTGATGAGCAGAATCCTTTTCCCCTCAACTTCAAGATGCCCGCATTCCCAACCTGCAGTGGGGAAGATTGTAATATGTCTTTTAGAGACCATATTTTCAAGTTTTCCAACTACTGTGTAGCATTTGAAGACAATCCTAACTACAAGTTGAGGTTATTTGGGAATTCAATGGTTGGCTTAGCATCTTAGTGGTACACTATTTTACCCCCTAATTCCATTGCCAACTAGGGGCAAATGGGGATGGCTTTCCACGAGCAATTCTATAGGGTGGAGCCCGAGATAACCATCAATGATTTAGTGGAAGTAAAACAGTATGAACATAAGTCTACAGAGGACTTCATGATGAGGTTTATGAGGACAAAGATGAGGTGCCAATTTCCCATCAATCATGCTCAACTCATAGCTATTGCCCAAAAGGCTTTAAGGCTACCATTGAGGAAAAAGTTCTATGATATGCAATTTAATGAACTTCAAGGGTTGGTGATTGCTGCTACCAAGTATGAGAAGTTGTTAACCGAGGAGCAGCAAGTGAAGCACTCGTTTAAGGTGCCAATTTTTTACAAGAACAAAGCCCCAATACACCAATTGGAGTTTGAAAGTTTAGAACTAGGGGAAAATAACAGCAATGTAGGAGAAGGAATTGAGTTGTGCACAGCAAAGATGACCACCCCCTTCAAACCTTTGATGGTGAAGAGATTGGTTCAGCCTATCAATGACTAAAAGATTGTTATGATTGATGGAAGTTTTGTGCCTGTAAAGCCCCCAAAGTACCAAACTTATTCTTTTAATTTGAATAAGGCTACTGACATTTATGAAGAGTTAGTGAGGGCAAGGGTAATCTTGCCCAACAACACCAAAAAGATGCCCGAACCTGAAAAGATGAGAGGGGAAAAGTATTGCAAGCTTCACTACACCTTCAACCATTCCATAGTCAATTGTGTCCAGTTCAAGGATTGGATCCAGGATCTCATAGTTAAGGGGAAGCTGTTTTAGAAAAACCTCAGGCTAACATGATGATTGGCACATATCCCTTCCTAGAAGCCCCCATCAACATGATCAACCTTAACTGGGTTAAAAAATGAAAGGGAAAGGGTACTTGGGAAGAGAATAATGAGAGAAGGCAAGCTGTTAGGCCATATAAAGGTGTTAGAAGATTGCCCGACATACCACAA